CCTGCCTCAGCCTCCTGAGCAGCTGGAACTGCAGGCACCCACCACCACAATGACTAATTTTTTGTAGTTTTAGTAGAGTCGGGATTTCACCGTATTGGCCAGGCTGGTCTCGAACTCCTTATCTTGTGATCTCCCCACTTTGTCCTTCCAAAGTGCTGGGATTACAGGTGTGAGCCACCATGCCCAGCCGGGATTAATTTTATTTCTTGCTTGGTACCAGGAATGTGTGAAATGGTCCCCAGTTGCTCCCTAAAGGCCCCATCTCTACTGGGCAGGGACTCCGAAGCCAGTCCTTTTTTATGTGGCCAGGACATAAAAAGCCACATAACTATGCCATTTCTTAAATAAAATCAGGTGGCCTGGGATTAAGCTCCCTGCTGCCTGTATCTCAGGCTCATGTTCACTGCCTCTGCAACATCCTCAATCCCTGTCCTTTGTCCTTTTTTCTCATATTCTCATGGCCTGTCGTGTAGCATTAGGCGGGGGTTGAAAGAGTTGAGTCAGGGAGCCTGAAGGCCCCTGATGATATTCTCCCTCTGCCATTCCATGTGATTTTTGTTTTTCTTGTAGAGTCTCAGGTGAGTCACTTGTTCTATCCTTTTCTAAATCTCAGTTTCAAAATGTAACATGGGGATAACCACAGCACTTATTTTGTAGGACTGTTAAGTGAGAAAATGCAAGAGAAAAATGCCTAGTCCATAATTACTGGCTTGTAAATAATAGTCATTATGAAGGATTTCTATTTTTTTCTTTTCTTTATACCTCTGCTACGATTCCAGATCACAACCTTCATTTTCAGGCCGCCCAGCAGGGTAACAAGAGGCGACTTCTGCCAGCTCCAAGGCTGTTTCTGATAAATATATGGATACTTTTTGCTTTTATGATTTTTTTTTAACTACTAATCACACTAGAGAAACGGCTGATGAGTGACAAAATCACAAACCTAGGGAAGTTACAAAAGCTTTTACAATCTCAGAGTAGTCATTGTCACTAATTATTAGAATACATCTGAGATTCTAAAAGCTTTTCACTGACCTCTGTTTAGATGGCTCTGTAGAACTCTCAATTATTGGTTTTATTCCTGTGGGTGAACATCTTTAATTTTCAATTGCCTCTCAGTTGTTTTGTTCTCACGTTGCTCAATCTATTGAGGCTCCAGTCTATAATTTAGGCTTGCGAAGCAAGTTACAGCTGAAAGAGAGCTGTGGTCTAGTTTGCCATTCAGATGCTTCCAGGTTTGTGTTATTTATTTTACAAAGCAACTCCATGTACATGTTTTCTAGT